AAACCACTGCTGGGAACTACGCTGGGATAACCCAGAGAGGAAACGGATTCTACCAAACCGATTTCTATTCTGATGCAAACGTCATCGCATCGAAATGTTATTACAAGTGTGTTCACTGCTGCCAACATCTTCTCTGCTTTTTTAAAGGTAATTAATTAATGCTTTGTTGCTTTTCATCTGCATTAAAGTGACAGGAGGGTTATGGGAGGGCGATGGGTTTTGACAAGGAGAAGTCTGGATGCTTTTTACTGTGCAGTGCAGGGGAGGGAGGTACACAGTGGGAGCTCATCTCACTCCTCCTGCCTTCATTTAAACACAATGTTTAAATGCGTTTAAGTGACGAAGGCATTTAACAACACTTCCCAGAGGGCTCTTCTTGCTGTTTGCACATGAGTTCGCCAAATTTAATGCCATTTTATGGAAGTTGTAAAAATGCTGCTTCCTAATCTCTCCTAGCCACTGCAGGCAATTGTCTCATGACGCCATCCCTGAAACAAGAACACATGCTCAGATCCATCGCACATGCATAGTCAGAGGAGAGACTTCTGCAAGCTAAAATGCTGTCATGGAAGGAGAGGGGGAATTCCTTCATGGCTTTACCTAAAAAATACTTCCAACATATATCACACTTGTATACTGAAGTAGTATCTAGGAGCCCCACTCAAAGATGAGAGATCTATCGTGATACAGAGCTGTACAAACTCATCAGAGAAAGAGGTCTCCTCCCCCAAGGAGCTTACGTCTGAATTCGAAGGCAGGGAACAACAGATGGAGACAGACAGGCAGATGGAAAACAAGGCAGCACTGTCTACATCCTTGGCACTGATCTCAGCAGAGTGGTTGCCAAGCTAAGAAGTTCTGACCTGAAGAAAAACTTTCTCAAAGCCTGTGGATATGGATGAAGGCTTCTGGGCTTGAACTCATGTCAAATTTCAAACTTCCCCATCCAGAAAGGGAACAGTCTCAAACCCGTCTGTGCACTAAATCAACCCATACCTCAGATGAACCTTCTTCATTCAGAAGATCCTCTAGTTTGAGCTCTAAAGCCACTGTACAATGGCAAGATAGAGGCTTTTCCTGACCAAAGGATTCAAGCTGGCAGTGCAAACCATCACCCGTGGCAGCAGTGGCAACTGTGGCATAGCAGCCTCCAGGGACCTTGACAAGGGCGAGGTATCACTGTGCTACATCCATGGAGCACGAAGAGGGCCTTGGCAGCCCAAAGCTTGCAGCCCTAATACATCAACTAGACAATTACCTCCATTCTGCAGGTGGTGAAGTGAGATGATTTAAATGATGTAATAGGCACCTCACCATAAGACCGTCTAGAAAAATGAGGAAGGAATCAGGTGAGTTTTGTCTTGTTCATTTTTTAACATTCTTTAGATGCTGTGTTCCATCACTAGCGCACATGAGACCCAAGAAAAAACAAAATAGGAGAGGAGATTTTGAGAATATGTGTAATTGAAGGTGGATAATATTCAGGGACAGGTATTTCAGAATATGTGGACACCCAACATTGAAGATGAGTCATTCTGGAATAAAATGTCAGCACTGGGACAATAACAACTTTATCAGATTAGCTGATTCTGCAATATCTGCTCCGATCCACCTTGCTCTGTAGACCAAGTTTCAATAATGCTCATCCATCTTTAAAAGGGAAGTGGACCAAAAGCTCCTTACTCTCCTCACTTTGCCTTTGTGTTTCTGTAGAAGAAAGTATCAGCTGAGAATGCAAATGGATTCCACCACAGGAGCTGTAATTCTCTGCTGTAGAGATGCTGAGTCATTTGAAACCTCCAAAGAAAAAAGCATTCACTTTCTGAAGAGCACATCACTAAAAGAAACCCCGTCCTGCAGGAACCGAGAGCACTCATTCCCATCCATAAACCTTCTCAAATTTAAAACCAGTTCCCTTTTCCGTCCTGACACCACTCCTACTAGAAAGCTGTCCCAGAACCCCACTAATATGGCTAAAATGCTTCTTCTAATTTCTAGCCTACTTTCAGGTAAGGCCATGTGACATATATTTGTTTTTATGACAGTATCTTCCTTTACTTTAAATAATCCTTCTCTCCCTAGTAATTACCTCTAATGAATATTCAGATGACCAATGCAACCTTTCTTAGACATCATCTGTGTGGACCAAGTGGAGCTCTTTCAGGCTGTGCTATTCAGTCAGGCTCTCTAAAACACTGACCACTTCAGTACTCACTGGTTGGTTGATTTAATCTTTCATGAATATAGGTGGTCAGAAATATCACGACCAGCAAGCAGGATCAACTTTTGCAGTCTACTCAAAGAAAAAAACATGGATTCTTTTATTTTAAAGCCTATTTTTTTTTACTAGGCTTTTATTTTAAAGCCTAGTAAAACAGGCCCAGTAAAGGAGAGTGGTCAAGGACGTCCCACTAACCATACTTGAGGCTACGTAATATACAGTGAGTGTGAACAACATTCCACTAAGACATCTTGAAATGGGTTTAAGCTGAAAGAGGGAAGGTTTAGATTAGATATTAGGAAGAAGTTCTTCACTGTGAGGGTGGTCAGACACTGGAACAGGTTGCCCAAGGAAGCTGTAGATGCCCCCTCCCTGGAAGTGTTGAAGGTCAGGCTGGATGAGGCTTTGAGCAACCTGGTCTAAAGGAAGGTGTCCCTGCTGCTGGCAGGGGGGTTGGAACTGGATGATCTTTAAGGTCCCTTCCAACCCAAACCATTCTGGGATTCTGTGATTCTATGATATTTAGCTTGGAGAAGAGGAGACTGAGGGGTGACCTCATTAATGTTTATCAATATGTAGAGGGTGAATGTCAGGAGGATGGAGCCAGGCTCTTCTCAGTGATGCCCAACGATAGGACAAGGAGCAATGGGTGTGAGCTGGAACACAGGAGGTTCTGCTTAAACTTGAGAAGAAACTTCTTTACAGTGAGGGTGCCAGAGCCCTGGGACAGGCTGCCCAGGGAGGGTGTGGAGTCTCCTTCTCTGGAGACATTCAAATCCCGCCTGGACACCTTCCTGTGTGATCTCATTTAGGTTCCTGCTCTGGCAGGGGGGTTGGACTGGATGATCTTTCGAGGTCCCTTCCAACCCCAACATTCTGTGATAATAAAGTTTTCTTTCCGTACAGAAATCCCAGACAAAGAAAGGTAATGTCTATGTCTTCAGGCAGGAAAGGGCCAGCAACAATAATTCTGAGTACCCTCCTCTCCATTAATCCTCTCGGGCTCTAACACTGCAGCTGAACGACGGCAGTTAAACGCGGACGCTAGTTCTGGTTTTGTTGATCACTTTAACAGATGGACTGGGGAAGGTGTGGGTGTGCTGTGAAATGGCAATTACTGCAGGGAGGGAAATGCGGTCGGATGAGAAGGAAAAGAGATACAATTGAAAAAAAGGAACAAAGCAGAGAGGGGAAGGGGAAACATGAAAGAAAAAAAAAATTCTAGTGACCTTACATTCCACTGTATTTTTCTGCTGAATTCACCAGTGAGATACTGAGCAAATGATCACTAATGGTAACAGCTCGATCTATACTTACTGTACCCAAGCCACAATTTTGCTCAAATCTTTGTATAAATACCAAATTGATTCCAGTGAGATATTTTCTAGGAATAGAACTTTCCAAATAAAACTCATATTTACACCCTTTTCACAGGACACAGCTAAACCAGAATTCAGAGCTCTCCTCAAAATGAACGCTGTATTCCTAGCTCCTGTGCAGTAAACAAAGAGCTCCCTTCCGCCTGGCAATCGAAGCAAGCGGCACGCTAACAGCATGGACGTGTGACAGCAGCGGGGACAGCAGACAGAGAGTCCCTAAAATAAGGAAAATAAGACTGTAGCTAATAACAAAGAGCTATCCTTTTTCTTCTCAAGGCTCTCAGCTCTTGCGTATGTTTTATTGCAAATTCTTATTCACAATTCACTGGTTAGTGCTTGTCAATAACTCTCTGGGTTTTTTTTTTCCCCTCCCTAAGGAAATAAGAGCAGAATTTTGATCAAGAAAAGCAGGAGGGAGGGGTGTCACTCTGGGACCTTGATGTACCTTTAACTGTTTTCTCTCTTACACATGTACATTCTCTGCTGTATTTCACAACTCAAAACATTTAGGGACTATGCTCTATGGAAACTCAGTCAGAACATTTTGAAGAAGAAGAAGATCTAACATCTGATGATCCCCTCCCTGGCATACTCAAACCATCAGCATCAAGATCTCTGAGAGAAAAATAAAAAAACATCAGAAAAACTGTTATGTTGATATATTATGGGAAGGAAACTAAGTTAGAGAGGGACTTGGTGACTTTCTTGGTCATGAAGAACAGCTGTCTTGTCTCAGGGTATAGCCCTAACCTCTGCAGTGTTCCTTCCATGAAAATACTTGGAAAAATATTCTTTCTTTCTTTAAAAATCTGTTTATAAAAGGCCTTTTAAGTGGCTAATATTTTTTGCGGGCTTTTTTTTCCCCCAATCACTGCTACTTACATACTGCAAATGTGATGGCTACTGGGTTTGCAAAAGTAGAGATACTAGTAATAGCATAAAGAACTTTTCACCTACGTCACCAAATAGAGCATGACCTGGTTTCATAGTGAACCAAAGAAAAACCCAGCTGCAGCTGCCAGGTAATACTGTCAAGAGAGTGGGAGGAGTGGAGGGAGTTTCAGTTCACTTTTTAGCAGACAGGTGTCTGCATCCCAAAAGCACCATCACAGCTGGCACAGACTGATGTTGTTGTTAGTAATCTCAGCAGAGAGGCCAAGCAGTGATCTGAGAGTTTATTTATAAATATTTTAGCAGACTGAAGAACCAGGAGGAGTTTTAAATTTACATTTCTTTATACATACTCCCACTCAGAATCTGTGAGCTTAGTAAATTTGTATAAAATCATCACCACAGCCTGACAATAGGATTTACAAGGGCAATGTACCCATAAAGGCAGAAGCTCTGCTGACAAGCAGGCAATCTTGCTTTCCAAAATGATTTTAATTGTTGTTTTTTTTTAATTCCCCAAAATATTAACACAGCGTTAAAGAAGGATACAATCACTACACAGCGCTCACCCTTGCAGGGTCTCTGTTGCAGTGATGGGATGTATCCTATAGATGCAAAGACTCAGTGCTGAATGCCAGGAGTTCAACACTGTGGGCCTCATCCTGCTCAGGACCACCGGGCACAGGATGAAAGAGCAGACTGGAAAACACTTGCTCTGAGGCTGCTAGAGGATGCTGCAGAGCAAACGCAGGATAGAATGCAACGCAGGTTGTGTGGCATGGAGTGAGAAGCCACCACTTTTGTCAGAAACATAAGAAAAGCTCACTCTGCTTAATAGCAAAGCTTCAAATAACAGTCCTAACAGTTCTGACTTACAAACAATTATATCATGTCCCTGACAAACTGCTGTACCAACCAGGAGAGCCAGAGAACTGAGGTGGACTCCAAAATGTGCTAATGGGTCAACAGCACCACGATGATTATGAGGGATTTCCTCTAAATGCCCACTGTTTATGTACGAAAGAGAAAAGTGAGGCTAGAGAAGAGACACAAAGGTCATCTACCCTCGTGACTCAAAAGAGAAGGTAACTAACTCCTTCCCAAAGACTCCACCAACTCCACTCATTCTTTGCTCAGGAGGAAAACACACAGGAGTGGCAGTAAATCAACAAGTTACCTTAGTTATCCAACCGTTAACTGCAACAAGGTGACAAACAAAGCCTCGCTCACACGATTCGCCGCAAATGCCTTCTTACCGTGAGACGTTTCGAGGCATCCACTTCAATCATCCCCCGCAAAAGGTTCTGACAGTCCGGGGGGATAAAATGTGGCATGTGGAACACTCCACGTTTCACCTTCTCCAACAGTTGTCGCAAGTTGTCGTCATCGAAAGGCAGGGCACCCTGCAGGGATGTGACCAGGTGGTGGATGGGAGAGACGAGCGAAGGGGAATGGGAGAGGGCAAAAAGAGAAAAGTCAGGACAAACATGGTGAGAGAATAGAAAAGAGGCAGTCAACTCATTAATGAATTATTATAATAAATGAAAAAAACCTTTTGAAAATAAATAATTTCTTAGTGCTGCTGTATTTTCTCCAACATAGGAAACAAAACTGAGGATATAGTTTCTACAGTAGACCTTTAATTAGAAAATGACTACCAGTATGAAACATAATACAAAATATGAAATTGCCTTTCCAGGCAAATTCACCAAAGATGCATGGATTCACTGAAATTCAGCTCGAGCTTTTGATCTGCTGGTATTCCTCCTGGGCATACTTTCACAGTAGCAATATTTATCGTCTCCTTATTTTTAATCTTCCTGAGACACATTTATTGCAGACATTGAAAAGGAAGTGAACAGCATTTGAGAGACTTTCAGTAAAGAACATCCTCTTTCTGATGGAGCAGTGAAATGACACAGCTGAAAGAAATCCTAACCAACATTAGCCTTTGGAAGCAGCAGACATTCTACCTGTTTAATATACTCCATCCAGTCCCCAGGCTGTGGTCAGGTCATCAGTTCCTACTGCTTCCCTACCATAGCTCACTAATGTGAATGGCTTGAGGTTTTTTTTTAGCTGAAATTACATTTTGAATAGATCATCAGCTTGCCACGAAAAGCAGCAAAAGACCTATCCTTGCTGCAAGGACAAAAAGGAAAAGAAGAAGTTGAAATCTTTAGGAGAACTTCACCAACTGAAGCTGCTACCCTTTTATAGCAAGTCTGCACCTTCCTGGATATTCTCACCTCCTTCCTTCACTGTCTAATTCTAGTAGATGCCGAGTTTCCTTGATTTCCAGGACGGTTTGTGGGAAGCTGCAAGCTGTCAGCTGCTGTGATAATGAAGATTTAAGTTGTCAATGCTGGCACTGCTCTTACTACAGCGAGTAGTGCATCTGTATGAGCAATCCCATGTCTATGTCTTATGGAGACCAACAGCTCCATTTACAGAAGCCTCAGAAAGCCCCACCTGATGGAACTGCTACTGGGCACTACTCACCCGTGTTTCTTTATTCAAGTGGCCTGGAGGAGCAAGCCTCCCTGTCTTCTGCAACCAGTCTCCTGACTTACCAACTTTTTACCCAACCATTCCAGACTTAAAGGAAAGTCAATTCTGATAGCTCAGTACTTTGGCTAATGCAGTTTAAGCCACGCTGTACCCAGCAAGGTTGCTTTGTGGCATTTCCTGAAGGTAACCACTACAGCTCTTCTATTACTACCACCCCCTAGTATAGCTGGAGACTTTTTGTTGTGTTTGTCCTGCCATAATTAACTGGAGAGCTCTGCACTCTCCATCAAGAACAGCTTTATTTCAACCGTTTTGCAGGCTCATGTAGAGATGTAGGAACAGATGAAGATGCAGCAACAGAGACACCAAATCTTGACAGAGAATCCCTCTGAAAATGAAAAGCCCACTCCTACAAATCCTAACCATCTTGATGCGTTCTCTCTTCTATTTTTACAAATTCAAGAAGTTATGTTAAGAGCTCATTATACAGTTCTATTTTCTCAGCTATGAAAATAGCTGCTCAGGAGCAATAGATGACCAGGTGCTATAACCAGTGAGATAGTTAAAATTCTTTCCTTGCAACATCAACATAAAAAAATCTAAACTTCAAAAATGTCAGCTAATTGTAATGACTAAAAAGAAAAAAGAGTAAGATCGCTTAAAGTGAATTAAAGCATCATACTGAGATTACCTCAAGGTATTTTAATTCAGGCCATTAAAACAATTATCAGCATATTTTTGGAAACAAAAATCCTTTAAAATTTCCAAGTATTTTAAACAAAAATAATGTGCAGAATGTACCTCTGATTGTAATTGTACAAGTGCTTTTCCCAAAATAAAACATTTAAGTGAAGCAATTAGATTTACTAATAAATGTACAAGGACATTAAAGCTTCAGGCTTGTTATTTTTGTGATTTTAGATGATGATTTGAACTACCATAGATATAAAAAACTTAACACACACATATAAAATCTATTCTCATATACAGTGTTTAATCTGCACATGGTATATGCTTATATGAACATGAACTATATTTTCCTACATTATACTATGGAAATGGATAACAAATGCCAAGCCTACCTGCCTTTGGTTGGACATCCAGTTGTTTTATGTTTAGGAGTATTATGTTACCACCACAAATGAGAATAAAATGCAGAGAGAATTGCAACTTTGATCGAAAGAAGGGAAAGTTACAAGATACCACACTTTGAATACTAAAGAAAGTATTACTAAGCCAGATGGAAACTAATTTAAACTTTGTACGACTGGCTCAGTTTTATATTCGCAAGTGTACTAAATTAAAATGTGGTTCAATGCTTGGATGAAACAAAATTGTTGGACTCAAATCTTCTCTTGATAAAACACTGTGTTAATGTATGTATATATCTACTGAAACACAAATATACATACAGCAGAAAAAACAAACACTTCCAAACCCAGCCATATTTTGTTCCTGTGAAGGACAACTTATTTGACACTCTCTGTATCCTGGAGTTGTAACCCTGCACATCCTTTCTACTCAAAAAAACACGCAGCAATATCACAACACAGCAAAAAACATTTATGGAGACAAGTTATTGACATTTGTCTATGCTCTGCTGTGCAGGAGAGCAACATTTCAAAGGAAGAGTGAAATATTCCTCCTGCTTTTCCTTTGGGACTGATGTAGAAATAAAAGGAAAGGACGCAACTGAGAGATATAAAAATAGCAGAACTAAAAAAAACAAAACCCATCTGAACATTATGTCAATAGAACCGCCATTAAATACAGCAGCATTTTTGGGATTTTTCTTTTCTTTTTCAAGTATAGCGCAAGGAAGATGACTCACCACTAGCAACGCAAATAAAATGACTCCGCAGCTCCAAACGTCTGCTTTCCTTCCATCGTATTTTTCTCCCTGCGCAGCAATGACACAGAGGTTCAGAAGACTGCTCACCAGCAAATGAATTCATTATCCTTGAAGACCATGAGAGGGGAGAATGGGAAACCCCACATTTCAGTTCAGCCACCCGCTTCCCAAGGTGGCCTTCTCAACGAGGAGGCCACGACACAGCCCATTAATTGAATTTTTATGAACATCAGTTTACAATCTTATCTGAGATCGGCGAGAACAGGCTCAGAAGTGGGGAGGAATGGTTGGCAACTCTTAAATGATTAGACCTGGTACTTAAAACGGTGTCAGAGGTGCATTAAGGACATCAAGAAGGTGGTTTCTTCATCCCTGGTTCTTCAGGGAGCTTGTCACTAGTCACATTATTTGTGAATTCATCGCATTGTCTCGCCAGTCTCGTCTGTACACTTCCTGCTCGGCTTTCCAGTAACAACATGCTTTAAAAGAGGGAAATCTTGGCCACTGAAATACTGATTTTCCAACAACAAAGGGAGAGTAGAGGGAAATTACAGTTCATATTGTTTAACAGAAGCCAACATCACTGACAGTCAGCCCTGGTTTTTCTACTGAAATGACAGATACATCAGAGAGAGGGAAGCGTGGGGGACAGCGTCCCCTGGGTGGAACGATAAGGTTAAATGAGGCTGCTGTAGCTGTCTGACCACATGGCACGAAGGCTACTAGGAGAATAACACACCAGCATCTCCAAGGTCCAAGCAGCGTGATTCAGGTCTGAGCCAAACAAACACAACGGTAGTTACATTCCTTGTGTCCTCATTCCTTGGACAGATTTCCTGTACAGAGGGTCTACCTGTGTCCTTGTAATGAGTGACACTTAAAAAAAACCTACATATTTATGCACACTATTTTTAACCAACTTACCCGGATGACTTCAGGGCAAGCATAATGTGGTGATCTGAAACACAAAATACAGTCAATGAGCATGTAACAGCCTGGTATTTATGGATCACGTGCATCTATTTCCATTTTGTTTAGCAGAAATACAACAGGCACACTTACATGGAATGCAAGTGTGCAAAACCAGCACTCATTTCCTTACCTTGATGAGAATGCATTTCTAAGAAACTCAGAAAATGGTCAAGAACTAGCATAATTCAAAATTCTATGGCCCTATTATGAATTTCTTAAAAGCGAGGAAGGAAGAGAAGACCAGGCATATTCTGTGACTACAGAGAATTCCAGCCCTCTAATCCCACCCTTCAACTCGTATCTCATCAGAAGGAAGGCTGGAGAGCCTTTTGTAAGAAATAAAAAAGAACAACATTTTCAGATTGAACACATGTATCCTTGAGCCATGCCTTGCATCTCTTCTGCTAGGATTGCTCTCAATTACTCCAGCGGTCATAAAAGCTGCCGATAGACAATTTCAACATACATGGTTTTTTTCTGTTAAAAAAATAAAAAGGATGGACAGTAGCAGTATTACCGAGCGAGTTAATATATTCTTTTCACATCCCTCTACCCATATATCTCTAGTTTGATTCCTGGCTGAGAATAGTTAATTACTGCAACTTGCCAGGTAATCATTTTAATTCCTAAAGATTATAGCCACGGCTATTTATTTTATAGCCTTCATTAAAGTAACCTGACAAGTAAAAGGGATGCAAACTGTCCGAGACCTGTGTGCAAATCACGCCATTGTTTATACTGACACCTCCCAGCAGTCCCCGAGCCTGTCTTCATTTGTGCATTTGTTTCTTGTGACAAATGCAATCATGGCTGGGCAATACCTGTCTCAAAAAGTAATGAGCAAAACAGAAGCAGAGGGAGGTTACCTTTGTGCTAGGATGCTACATTAATGCCCAGTGAGACAGCCCATTAATTGAATTTCCATACACACTACACTTATCTTATGGCAAAATACCATCCCATGGGCATGGAATGCCCTGATTTGGTATCACAGCTTTTGGCAGACCATGATAATAAACTCAGGGTACACTTGGGACTGTAGCTGCCTTGACAGCAAAGCTTAAATGAGGAGAGAGAAACGCAGTTGATTGCTCACAAATTTTAGGAGAGGTGGAATTCTGAAGTTTAATACATTTAATACCCCTCTTCTTCCCCATCTAAGAGGTTATCCCGGGTATTCTAACCAGGTCTATCTGCCCAGTAGTGATCCCAAGAGTCTTAATTTAGACTGGGTTTTATAAACCTCAATTTGAGAGTCAAAATAGATAATGAAAACCAGTGTCTTCCCTCAGAGAGCTGGGCAGAGTTGGCCCTTGGGAGACCAAAAAGAATGGATTTGTGCCTAATGGGTAGGACGGACAACCTGGGCTCTTGGCAGCTCTGTCACTGGCAGCCACAGAGACACAGACAAGGTTACTTAACATCTGTAAGAGCTACAGCTGGTCACGGTTTGAAAAAGGTGCCCAGAACCTCACCATGAGTCTACTCTTCTGACTGGAACAAGAGCAATGCCACCACAGCATTCATATCTCACACGAGTTCAAATGACTGAATCTGCTGGGATTTGTACGAGGCTTAAACCTTTGAGGGCAAAAGCTTTTAGAGTAGCAAAGAGCATGATGGCAACAATAATGAAATATAAAATATAACTAAAGCAGCCAGTAACGGTAACAAAACTGTTGGTTCTTGACTAAGCGAGGGCTGATTTGGGGTCTTGCAGCATATTGCTGGTCACTGCTGGAGAGAAAGTGAGGCCAGAGTGAGACACTGAGTTGTTTAATGTTATGTACGTGCTCCCAGCCCTCCAACATCTATTGCTCCCTGCGAGTTTGCTTCTCTATAGCGACCCAACAGCTACTCTACACCTGTTCTGTTTAACACCCCAAAGCCTTAACCACTGAACAATCATGTCTCTGGACTAATGCATGATTTTACAAGCTTTTAGAAAACAAGTTAAATTATTCTTGTGAGAACGTTTGACTAGTGGTGGTGTCTTTTTTTCTTATCATAAAAATGGTGCATAGTTTACAGGCCATCTTTAAGCTAGACACAAATCAGAATAAAGGAGTAGCATCAGAACTGGGACTGGAATCCAGGACTGGACAAGCACAGCCAGCTGTCACTGGGGCTTACAGCAGTGAAAGAGAGCAGGATGGGAGCTGTGGGGAAGGGAGAAATGCAACTGGAATTTGGAAAAACCCATGGCAGCAGCAGGAGCACAGGGATTACATCAGATGATGGACATTCACTGGGTTTAGTCACCTCAAAATAGAAAGATCAGTTCTAACATGTTCTGTATAACTGAGTCACATTAGATTTATTGGGAAACATATCAGGGGTAACAAATGAGCGCAGACACAATCTGTTGAGCTCCTGTCACTTTGCGTGTCTGAGTTTCTCAGTCCTGCGTGTGTTTCAGCTTCTGTCAGGTATGATGCTACCGCTGCCTTTCCTGCAGAAGGTGAGCCACCAAGAACGTTAATAGGCTGCTACAGGTGGTGTCCATGGCTGAGCCAGACACTCCAGCTAGACCTCCCAAATGCTACATGGTATATTCTATCGGCACGATGCTTTTTAGGTGGCCATGCCATCTGGGGTGCACTGAAAGAGTCAGCATCCCAATTCACAGAGCACTGCTGAGTTTTTATTTGTATTTGATGACACCACCAAAGATTTCAGAGGTCTTAATTGTGGATGCTGAGCAATGCAACCACCTTGACACCATCCTGTGCTAACATCCTTCAGAAGAAGAATGTAAGTGTTGTGAAGAACCCAAGATAGGTACATACCTATTTATGTGTCCCACTAGCAAATGAACTTAAGGTATTTACATCCCGAGGTCAGCTGGAGTGCAGTGGAATCTGCTAGGTGTCTTAAAAGGCACCACTGAAATTCCGCTAAAATCTAGGAAAATGGGTGGAGAAACTGCTATAATAAATCCTTTAAACAAGTTGGATTGATTGGATCACTCAACAGCTGCACTGCAACTGCCCACAGAGCAGGTTTCTGGCATAGCCATTCTGAATTCTTGCCAGCACACACTAGCTAGTTATCTTGGATAATCTAAAAGGTTTTCTCCAGCCAGTTAGAATCCGTGGAAAACTCATTTCCATCATGCCAGTCACAGAGCAACTTCAACTGCTTTAAAGAGAAAACTCAAATTTAATGAAAAATCTATTTATGTTTCTACGGAGTCATGAATATTTCTTTGGTTCTTATCACTAATTATTCAATAGACGTGTGTCAAGAGCAACGTTCCCTGCCTCTTCCCCTAGGCCATCTCCTCATCGTTCAGCTACATCGCTCTGCAGCAAAAGCCACAATCTGCCCTTGATAACAAATAAGTATATCACTCAGCAAGATCAAGAAGCACTTGCTGCTGCCTGCGGGTACTGCTGCAAAAAAAAAGCCCTGATGTTGGCAGTGTTTATTTCAAGGGTGACGTGGATCTGCCCAGGCTAGTCTGCCCGGGGCAGGAAGGGTTCTCTGAATGGTCATTCACAGCTACAACTCTAGGACATAGGAAACTGAAGGATCTTAGGAGACCTTTGCAAAGCATTTACATGGGATTTCAACCAGAGTAAATAAGCCAGAGAGCAATGGTGAAATGCAGAACAGCACTGGACAGGTAAGACAGGCATCCAGAAAGAAATGCCTGATACATTCCCTGATGTATCCACCCTGAATTTCATCTGGGAAAGTAGAAAAGTAGTTCTTGGTCTGTGCACATCAAGATACAGCACAGCTCCAGTAGATCCAAGACAACCAGGGCCATATCTTCAGTGCAGATGTGATGTGCCTGTGACCTACAGGTCTCATTATGTGGGTAAGAGAGACCTGCACTGTGCACACACCAATCAACTGCCCACATACGGTTTATCTGGAAATACACAGTAACTGCTTTTCCAGAGGAGCAGTTTGTTGATCAAGAAAGGGATCAGGGAAAGCTGTGTGATACTACTCTCTGATGGGTTCCCAGGTCCCATCAAAGATGAGTGTCCATGCTGGGTCCTTTGGTCCCATGCCTTAAGATGGTACCATTTGGGGAATAAGAAAAGCTTGCAACCTCCCTGGAAGTGTTCAAGGCCAGGATGGATGAGGCTTTGAGCAACCTGGTCTAGTGGAAGGTGTCCCTGCTGATGGCAGGGGGGCTGGAACTGGATGAGCTTGAAGGTCCCTTCCAATCCAAACCATTCTGTGATTCTATGATTCTCTGAGTGCCATTCCTTAGGCCTCACAGCTGGAGACAGAGTTTCTGCAGAGAAGGAGGAACAAGAAGTCTCCTTCCCTCTGTTTTTCTTATGGATGAAGTTACCTTGATACAGAAGGTTGCACAGGTGCACTGAAGTCCTACGGTTAGCTGGTTTTGCTGTTGCTCAGATGCTAGAGTCCCTTCTTCCTGCCCTGTTCATCACTGTCTCCAAGCTGGCTTTCAGAGACAGAAGCTACTCATGACAGCAAAAGGTGGCCTGTACTTCCCCCCATGCTGGGGAGCAAAGGTCTGAGAAGAAGGGGAACACCAGAGGAGTAGCAAACAGAGAAAGGGAATTCTTCAGGAGAAGGACATAGGTTACAACATCCTGAGTGGAAAAAGCAACAGCCACAGATCACACAGGGAAGTAAGACAGGGAGAGCCTGGAGAAATGCTCCCAGTAGCAGTGGGTGGTTAAGGCTGTGGAGAAGGCAGTAGCTGTGGGTATGGCTGTAATTAAGGTTGTAGCTCTAGTTAAGGTTGAGAGCTGTTTTGCCATTAAAGCTTCAACTCAGTCATTTAACTTTGTATGAGAGAACTCCGTATCTAGCCCTCAGCCATCTACAGCTGTTTACTCCTCAAGCACAATTACATTTTTAGGGAATCTGCAAGTCAGTTTATTAATTAAGATATCAGTTCAAATTATTAAGACTTGGAACCTTTAAGAGATCTTATTTTAAAAAACGAAACAGACCCCTGTATTAAAAGGGCATAAAGACTGCATGAAGATCAGC